ATTCATATATATAAGTATGTTATATTTTTTTATGTAAATATTAATATTTTAATTGTATAAAACATAAATATAAAAAACAATTTATCCAAAAAAATTTATAGTATTTTATTTAAAAATCAATAGCATAGGTAAAATTTAAAAGGTAAGCGAACATGTCAGCGCTGATATGTTGCATTACAAATTCGAAAAGGTAAGCTAACATGTCAGCGATGATATGTTGCATTACAATTTCGAAAAAGTAAGCGAACATGTCAGCGCTGATATGTTGCATTACAAATTCGAAAAGGTAAGCGAGCATGTCAGCGCTGAAATGTTGCATTACAAATTTGAAAAGGTAATCGAACGATTCAGCGCTTGCCCGCAATGACATGCACGTGTTAAAGTAATTAGGAGTTTCATTTGAATAATCAGCGCTAGGCATTACCATTAAGCGCTGAGGGAATCGATTCCCTCAGCGCTGAAAGTCCCGCTGGGCAGTAACGTACATAACATACAACTTTAAGCAGCTATGATGTTTAATTTGAGTTTGTGGAATAAACAAGCAAAACTTGCATTAAAATGATTGGCAAAACTTAAGATCAGAAAGAGTGAAATTTTGTTTTAAGGAAGGAAAGATTTCAGATGAATTGAGAAAACATAGAAGGTGTCATAACACGATTATCAATAATGAAATAGTAGAAAAAATTAAGCAACTTATTCTTCTTAAGAAAAGAATTTCAATTCGACCAGTCGCTGAAGTCATATGAATATCACATGGTTACAGTGTAACAATTTTTTTTTATTTATTTTCGACATGAAACGAGAAGAATGAATTTTTGGTTAATTACAAAACAAGCAGACAAAACATTATATTACTGTAATATTGCAACAATGTTTTTGTTGTCATTGTATATGCATTCAACGGTTTTCAATAACAGATGTTATAAAGGCAAAATCATAGAACGATATAAAGACCATACCTAAAAAGTTTCTTAAACTGGAAACAATGATCGAATAAGTGCATAATATCAAATGGGGACTACTTTAAAGGAGTTAAAATAATCATAAAAGATAATATTTATACCATTTTTAATAATTTTTCACTACACTTTTTATAGATTTTCATTTTAAAGTGGTTTAACTTTGGAAAAGCATTTTTTGAATCCAAGAAATCATTTTGATTTCATTAGTGTATAGTGTATTTAATGTAGATTCCCATCAAAAAACAGCCTTAAAGCTACATCAGTTTTGTGGAAACGTTTACATTTCGCAGAGATCTGCTAATTTCAGATATGATCTATGTAAGATTCTTACAGATGAAGTATACTCCTATATACTTTAAAACAAATTTTGTGATGTTACATTAACGCACTCTCATGTTGACCTTCTAATGAGTTTACACTAGGACCAGCTAAGCCTACACATAGTTCCGTAGAGGAAAAACTAATTACGTTAACGATGACATTATTGTAAAGGAGCATTATGATTGCAGACTCTCTCCAGTATGTCATACATTTTATTCAAACAATTTTTTGCTGTAAATTATTTTGTCATTTTAAGACTGGTTTACAATCCTCATTAGTATTAATGTATTTTAATTAAATAATTTTATAAAGTACTTAAAAGTTTTATTTTTCTACTTAGGTATATAAAATCATTTCATCACGAATTTCCTTGTTTGAAAATTTGCAGATTATGGCTTTACTAAATTAAATTTAGTATTAATCTTTAAAGGATGTTAAACCTATTTAAAATAATTTGAAAACACTAAGAGCCATAAATTATCTGATTAAAGCTAATATGTACATTTATTTATATATATTTTTAGTATAGTTTTATTTTTCTACTTAGGTATATAAAATCATTTCATCACGAATTTCCTTGTTTGAAAATTTGCAGATTATGGCTTTACTAAATTAAATTTAGTATTAATCTTTAAAGGATGTTAAACCTATTTAAAATAATTTGAAAACAAAGGCTCAATAATTTGATAAAACCGATAAACTTATTTTCGAATAGTAGATAATTAACATTGTTACAGTTGTTATAATTGAAATTAATATTGATAAAATCAAAGTAAGAAATCTAAT